AGAGAGAAATAAAAGAAAAAGGTACTTATTAAATGGTTGTTTGGTTTCAAGCTTCTCCTTTATCTTGGCTCACTGGGAAAAGTCATGGAGAAACGAGTAATAACCTAGATAATCCACAAGAAGAAGAGAGCTGGTCTGAGTCACCTGGGACACAGAAAACCCTCCTTTCCCTCACTAGGTCCCCACCCTGCCCCTCTGCCCAGCCCCACTCATGATTTCACAGCCTTTCTTAATCAAGTATTCTTTTTGCTGCTTCATCTAAAAACTTAAGGTACTCCAAGGTTAGATTAAGTCATCGCAAATGGATAAAATGACCTGGCACCTTTCCAGATTTCCACTGCCCACATTTATCAGTCAACAGACTCTATGATGCACATTATTTTCCATGTATATGGCCTTAGAGGTGGGACTAAAAAGCCTTGATGATACTGAGGATTTTTAACATGTTTTGCCATTCTAATGTGTAAATGCAGTTAAGAAGAAGGAACAGGGAGACACAGTCATTATCTACCGGAACCGAGTACGGGACAGGGGTTCTATTATGTCATCTGCTCATCCCAGTCACCTTAAAAGTGGCATCATTTCCTGCCATTTTGCAGAAAAGAAATAAGAAACTCCAACAGGTTATTATTCATACCCTGGTTATATACCCACGTAGAGGTCTTAGCAAGCGTCCTAGCAAGTACTTACTGAACATGCATGATCGTATTAAAAATGGCAGGATGAAGAACTGAACTTGGACCGCCTGGCTCCAAAGCCCATTCTCATTGCAATACACTGTGTCCTCAGGAAAGCACTAAGCACCCGGAGGGATGTGGGAGGAACTACCAGTTGGACAGAATGCACTTTGCATCTTTCTCTTCCTAGGTCAGGTCTCTGTGCCAAGGAACCGTGAGGGAGACGTGCGGTAATTCTCCACGTGAATCTGACAGTTCTGAGGGAAGGCAGCTGAGGGGCTGCTGATGGAGGGACTGAAGATCAGCAGACTGTACGTCTGCCTCTGTGCTGAACCCACACAGACGTGTCTGTATGTCTGTCTTATGTATCTTTGACAGGAAGCCTTCCCTGGCTGTTTTCTATAAAAGAGTTTATGTAGTTCATGATTCTGAATCATGATACCTTCTACCTGTGGTCTCTGAAGGGGGTGGGGATGGGAGAACTTACTTTGTCTACAGGTCTGAAGAATTCAGGCGAAAATCTTCCCTTACCTTAAACCAGACCCATTTAGGCCTAACGTCCCATAAAGTAGACTTGAGGTGACAATGCTTCCTCTGTGTTTAATTTCTACAGGACAATATTTTTATGGAGCTATATAAACAACAGTGACCCAAGTAAATGTGCTGAAGAGAAAAAAGGGAACTAGTTGGCCAATCCTGGGTGAAGTAAGTTGTGTATCTGAAGATCTTATCCTCTGTCAGTAGTTTTCCTGTGTCCCGACTTCCAGGGTTTCCACAGAGCCTCATAGAGATAACATAAAAATAAAAATAAAATAGAGGAAGAGGGGAGTAGCTGGAAATAGGTAGGAAAAAGTAACAGAGGAACAATCTTTATAACTCATGGACGACCATTATTATTGTTGAAATGAGTGAAAAAGAATTACTATTTTCCCCCTTTCAGATCCCACAGCTACAAGCTCAAGACAGATGTCAGCGTACAATGTTGCCAAGTTTTGTACCTGAGTTGTATGAATAAAATACTTCATACCTACAAAGATGAGTTTTTTTCATGCTTAAATTAATGAAGGGAAACTTTCTATTTGGAAGGAAAAAAGAAAGTACTTACCTTTATATCCCAAAATGGCTACTGTGATTGTTAGCAAGGCACACAAAATGTATAATAAAATGATAGAAAACTTCAGTGCCCAGTTATTTTTACATTTGGTACATTGTGTTCCTTCCTGAATACCTGTAAGAGAAGTCAAAATTTAATAATAACAATAAACAAAAACAGCATTTCAAACAGTATCTTTTTGCAGTTTGGTTCAAATACTGTGACTAAGAATAATTTGTTTTTTGGTGGCTGGCCAGTACAGGGATCCAAAACCTTTGGCCCTGGTGTTATAACACTGTGCTCTACCAACCGAGCTAACCGGCCAGCCAAGAATAACTTTTACATATACCTTAGTATACTATGAGAAATATTTTAAAATTAAACAAACTCACCACTTTAGCAACACAAGCACTTTAAATAGCATCATTGTTGATATAATTGTATTTAATATGACTTAAAAAGAGTGCATAATTTGTTTCATAGAAAATAGTTTGATATCAAATTCCATTATGATAATTACAATTATAATTTCAATAAAAATCTTTAAGTGACAAAAGATTTGAACACTTCTACTTATTTCAGACGTCATTGGACCTACGGCAATTTAAACACAATCCTCCCCCCCAAAAATCACGATTTGTCCCTTGATGTTTGTTTCAGTGGTGTATTGGAGCCAGTTCCTTAACTATTGGTAGCTTGAAATGAGCCCAAGGGGGAGTACTGATGCCATGGAAATTGGCAAACATCACTAATTAGGATTCTTTCCCCACCCCCACCTCCAGACAACTGGTTTACCAAAATGCCACTGGTTGTAATATACTCTAACCTACAGCAGAAAGCATAGGTAATTTTATGATTAAATGCTCAATACATAACCACTTCTGTATATTACATGTGTACAGAAAACAGACATGATCCTTTTTTATCACAGTGATTTGAATACCAACTATGGAACAAACAGAAAAACCAGACATTTTTGACAAGTGGAGATAAATTTTTACTGCTTACCGTTCAATTTTTTGAAAAACATTCTAGTCTAAGTGGTAAACCAGCATTACTGATGCAAGTGACTCCAGAAAACAACCCATAAAAAGGGAACTTTCCATCTGATTGATTACAAACACAGAAGACAAAGACTGTGGACATTTTAACATGAAAATCTCATTGTTAAGGAGTATCAGGAGACTCCTGTTTTCCTGACCTGTTTCCTTATGTGTGTCTTACGAATAGCATCCCCCAGGAGCAATAGCACATAAAGGACTGATCTCCCATAATTGTGCTCAATAACTTCTGATGGGTAAGTCATGGGGATTAAGCCACATTCGAAGTTTCTCTCCTTTGGTTTGTAATTTTACGCATAGTTCCCTTCTTCAGTGAAAAGAGTTCTTCAGCTGTGTTTAATGCAAAATGATGAGAGAAACAGCATATAACAATGACTCCAATTTAGCTCTCAGGGTTCAACTGACCCCTCTGGCGATCTGGGCTGTAGACACAAGGGGAGGAGGGATCCAATCTATCTGCTTCATGACTTAGAGCAGTGCTTCTCAAACTTGGGGGTGCACCATCATCCCCTGAAGGGTTCATTAAAACACAGTGTTTATAATTCAGGGGGTTTGATGAGGGGTATGAGAATGTGGATTTCTAACAAGTTCCCAGATGATGTTGATGCTGCTGGTCTGGGGACCACACTTTAGAAGGGTGCTTCTCAAATTATAAAGTGCCTACAAATCACACTGTTGAAATGCAGATTCCAGTTTGGTAGGTCTGAGGGAGGAGCTAAGATTCTGCATTTCTTACAAGGTCTGGTGAAGTCTGGTCCAAGGACCACACTTTTAGGAGCAAGGGTTTAGTTTAGGAGATGGTCATGCTGGATCAATCATTGGTTAGCCAATTCCTGGCATCAACTGTACTGATCAAACAGACCTATAGTAAATCAGCTTCTCTGTGTTACAGGTTTTCAATTTTTTCCCTTCCTTTTCCCTTCTGTATGTCCTTTTCCTTCTATATGTCTCAGCACCACCTCTTATGTTCTGAATTGACCTCAGTACTAGCCCTGCCAAACCAGATCTCCAACTTCCACCTAACTTTCTTATTTTCACCCAACCTAAACACTAGCACCATGCCAATCCCTCAGGTGGTTAATCTCAAAGGCACCATGAGTTCTTCTATTTATTCTCCAATTCAATCAGCCACCAGGCCCTGTTAATCTTCCTGTGGGATATTTCTATCATGATCACCATCATCTATAGTTTACTGATGTTCATTTACTGCCTACACTGTACCAGGTTCTGCACTGGGTACTATACACACAGCACCTCTAATCTGTAAAATAACCCTGCAAGGAGCATGGTGGTGAGAGCTGAGATGACATCCCATACACCGTCACAGCCAGGATTCCAACCTGTGTTGGTCATCTAACACCACAATCTCTCCACTATGCCATGGTCCCTCTCTCTGGTCATCCTTTCTCTCCATTTCCACTGCAACCATGCTAGAGTGAGATCTTTTAATCTCAATGGAAGCTTCCTCTCCCATTCCCACAAGAATCCAGTCTCACCCTGTAGTAAGATACTGCTGTCCTCATGACATTTTCCAAAAACGCCAAAAACAAACTGTCAATGGCTCACCCTTAACTAATAGATGAACACACACATGCACATGCACACACACATACCAGCTCTTAAACTCTCTATAATCTGGTGTATTTAAATGAAACAAAGACTGCTTACATCCAGAAAGAGAGCAAATATTTTTTAAATTGGGAGAGGGGGGAGTACAGGTAGACCCACAAACATGCCACATTCCATGTTGAGAAACAACAAACTTGCTTTGGTGGCAACAGTAAAACACAGATGGATGACAGACACAGGGATGCCGGATCAACCTCCTGTAGAAAACTGGATGACACTTTCATGATTGATGGGGGTTTCATTCCTTTTGGATTTTAGGACTGTCTTGGGTGAGTTCTTTATGTCTCTCTAGGGTGATTTCTTACGTTTCACTAGGAGAGCCTCAGAAAATTTGGTTAGAATGGAGATTATGGTACATAACAGAACCTGGGGCTAGAAGGCAGCACAGAGGTCATTTAGTCAAGCGTCATTGTGTTCTGATGGGAAAAGTGAGGGCCAGCAAGTAGAAGCAGGATCAGAAGCCACATGTCCTGACTCCAACATGTCCTTCCCTCCCACTCATCCCTGTGTGCCAGTGTGTGCTGCCACTGGGCATCTTGTGGCATTCCTGCAGATCTGCTCCCAGACCTTGACACTGGCTCACATTCCAAAGAACAGGGGCACTTCCTCGTGTGTGTGTTTCTCTCTGCTGGCTGTATCAGCATTTAATCAATATCAGATGGCGCTGCCCGGCCTCCCTTTCCACTCCACACACTTTCTCTCTCTCTTGTTTTTTCTCCCCCCCTCCCCGACTTATTTTTAATAAGAGTTCTGTTTTATCTTTCCCCCTCTGCCCTCCACTGGGAGGACATCTGGCCAAACATACAGATGCCTACTACAAAGAGACCCTGCTGGCTCACGTAGCTGGGGGACCCCCCTCCTTGAACCTAGATGGTCACAAAAAACATTCAAGAGAGATATCCCCCTGTTACCAGCCTTTGTAGTGTTTGTTTTCTTAGCATTACTTTCCAGAGCCTGGGGACTTTGTTCCCATGGGGGAGGGGGCGGGGAAGGAAGGGCAAGCGGACCCATCTGCAGAACGCTGCAGATCAGAGATTCCAGTTTGGGAAGTGAAGCAGTGCTGCTCCTCCCCATCAAGAGATCCAGCTTCTCAAAACACTTGGCCCAAGTAACACATTCGTAATTCAGCTGGCCACAGGCAGAAAGTACCAGAAGGATCCATGCCTTTCCGTCGGTTATTCCTCTTGAACTACCTCCTGCTAAACTCCATACTTGGCTCAGGTTTTAAATGTATTTTCCAGTGTCCAAGTCTTTGTTATACAAAAAATTCTGGAGGCCCAGTGAAGCCAAAATCACTCTGGTTAACTCCTTGAGTATTCCACAGAAGTTCAGAATAGACTGACAATTTGGTTCCTTGTGCCCAAACCCAAAGTTCTCCCTGGTGCCGTTTCCCATAACACAGTTCAAGTAAAGTGGGCAGGGGGAAGGGGCGCTGATCAGGGAGCCGTTAGCTGCTTGGCAAGCATACTCAAATGCTCCAGGAATGACAGTGCAAAGGGCCAGAAGAATTCACTAGCAAAGAGAATTCTTTTCTGCTGCGGTTCTCCAGAAAGAGCCCTCCCAAGTGCTGTGGTTCAGACTCCAATCCAGTCTGTTTTTCAAATCTTTTGGAGAAAAAAGAGTCTCTGTCACTATCATATTTTTCTGCCATGTGTATCACAGAAGGAGGGCTCATCTGTGAAAATGGATACATGCTGATCAATCCCCCTCCTTGGTAGGTGGAGGCTGGCACTATGGGCAAGTGAGGGGCACCTTGGGGCTGCCTTAATGATTACAAGTGTCTAAAGCTAAGTGATGTTGCCATAAAAACCATGTTACTAAAAAGAAGCTTAAAAAAGCTGGTGGATTGCAAAATCTAGAAAACCACAAGTTTTGATCTGAGATTTGCAGTGACCTTTTCATGTGGTTTTTTTTTTTTTCCCCTGACCGGTAAGGGGATCACAACCCTCAGCACGGTGTGGTCAGCACCACACTCAGCCAGTGAGCGCACTGGCCATCCCCATATAGGATCCAAACCCGCGGCCTCAGCGCTACCAGCACCGCACTCTCCTGAGTGAACCACAGGGCCGGCCCTCATGTGGTTTTTTTATAGTTATTAATCTACTGCCTGGTGGCATATATTCCCATAAACCCATGAGAAAGATTTGGCTCTAACAGTAAAACTGATGATTCAAATAAATTCCTATAATTAAAATGTCCTCAAAAGCAATAAAGCAAGAGTTAACATCTCGGTTAGTTGCTTGAATGTTAGGCAATATCATTAGAACGAAAGTGAAATACATAAAACACTTTATCTGACAAATAATTAGTTTTTCTTTATTATAAAGGCCACTTACTAAATGATGGTATAGGGTTTTAGCTAGTAGAAAAATCTTTATTAGTGAATAATTCAGTTCCCCAAATACAAATCCCAGCCCTGGATACCTTATTATGCCAACTTTCCTAAATGATGTGGAGAATCATGAAAATGGAAGAAGGGTGAGAATCGGAAATGAAATCACTTTCTGTGCAAAATAAGTGAAGCCTCACAGCACTTCTGCATTCATAAATAAGTATTCAACCAGAAATATTATTTAGAAGAGAGTTTTAAGAGAGTGTGAACTTTTCAGTGTTCATTCTGAACTTACATTAATATTTGCCAAGGGTATATAGTTTTTTTCGTTAAATTTTTTTCATGTACATAAAAAAAAGCAATCAGTTCTGGTTTGGTTTTAATGTTTCTTAAAAAGGAATATGTATTATTTATTTAAAATTTATAATTTAGGGGCCGGCCCGGTGGCGCACTGGATGGTGCGCCGCTTGGGAAGCGCGGCGGCGCT